GTTTAAGCCTTTTTTGGCGAGCTTTCGGCGCTTAGCGCCTTTGTCGAGCCTGAAATGAAAATTATAAGCTTTCTTAAAGTCTGTTAATATATTAAAATATATTAACTGACCCACCTGCTGTCCACTTTCAAAAGTGTAACACTTACCACCCTTGTCGGTCTGTGAAGCAGGAACTGTTCCCTACCCTAGACTTACCCTTAAATAGCGTTGACGTGCTACGACCGTTATTTCCCAAAATATCGCATTCATTCCACAGTGATGATAACTGCAGTCATGCGATGAGTTGAAGAGAGTCACGTAACTCGTCTCTGCTATTTATTTCCGGGGCTAGTCTTTTTATTTCCAGAGCCTCCAGTATTTTGCGTTCCACTGTGTTTTCAACGGAACGGTGTAGGACTTTTACGTTGAGGGTGGGTGGATCCCCTTGGGCATGTTGTTGGGTTCTATGTTTGGAGAAGCTGTTACCTGGATATGAGGCCGGATTTTGTAGAGCCCTCCGATGTTTTTTTGTAATATATTCTTCTTTATTAATGAAGATGCGATTCAGCCCACTGTGAGCGCTGATTCTAAAAAGAAGAAGAGAAAGAAGAAGACGAAACAAGGAATAGATATGAAAGCAAATGGAATTGATAATGCAGAGGATGTTATCGTAATAGATGACGACGACATGGATATCTTGGAAATCACAGAAACATCCTCATCTTCTAAACCTGGTAATTTAATGATCTTGTGCAATGCTTGTACATATAGTAAAACAGAATTTTCAGAGTCTGGTTCTAATGATAACAAAAAATTGATAGAAATGCAGCGCAAGGAAATTCAACGGTTGAAGAAAATCAATGCGGAGCTCTATAAATTCATGGCATCAGAACTGACAGGAAAATGAGAGTCGTTGTTAAAGCACAATTTCGTTATTGTTATAGTCCAAGCTTAGTGTTTGTCTTTTTGTTGGGAGTTTCACACGTTATTCGGAGGCGTTATTTTGTTGCTGTTGTTGTTGTACATCATATTTTTATAAAGTTAGCAAGTTGTCAAGCAATCGGATCAGCGCTGGTACACAACTGATTGGACAGTGTTAAATCTGTCGTTACTACCACTGCTTTACCATTTGTGGACTACGTACTAAGCGAAATTACTAGTGCATCCTTTCCACAATCTCCTACTGAATTGCAGCCTACGTTTCCTAATATACCTCAAATTGATTTGATACGACCCCCCTTGTATGTGACACTTGTGTAGAGACAGTGTTTACCATCAATATTTATTTCTACGTAAGTCATCAAAGATGAAACTTTAGCAAAATCCACGACAGATATTCATCGCTGCTTCCAAACACGAAAAAATGAGATGCATTCAAAGATATCCGTGTACTCCAAAGGGTTACCAAACTAGGAGATGAAATAAACTGAACCAGTGACCGGAATATTGACAATATTACCTGATAAAAACTTATGAGAAGTCAGAAAAAATTATCGCTCCAATTGAAATACTGAAATCCTTCACGTTCTTCAATTGCAACACAATTTTTACACCCCTCTTTCTAAGGCTATAACTTCCTTCATATTCGAGCTTCTGCGCCGAAGTGATTTGATTTGGAAAATTCAAATTATTCTCTCTCCAACCATGGGTAAAAATTCTTCGAAAGTTAATTTAATAAAAATTTAGTACGTTGTTACTTTTTTCTGTGCAAATGCGACTTTTTGACCTTCAAACGATCATAACTTCCTTCAAAGTCATTCATTTGGGAAGCTGAACACGTATAATAAACTACAGGATTCAAGCTTTCTAACGAGCACCCAAGCGTTCCTGAAAGATCAGTAGTTCAAAAATTAGTCCCGTTGTTACTTTTTTGGGGGTTTGCGTTACTATTTTTTTGGAACCGCGACTTTTTTACCTTCAAACGATCATAACTTCCTTCAAAGTCATTCATTTGGGAAGCTGAACACGGTATAACAAACTACAGGATTCAAGCTTTCTAACGAGCACCCAAACGTTCCTGAAAAGTCAGCAGTTCAAAAATTAGTCCCGTTGTTACTTTTTTTGAGGGGTATTCTTCAAGCCATTTTCCCGAAAACGCGGGTTTTCTTAGGTTTCACTGCCCGTAACTTCTTGGAAGACCAATTGTCATGTTTAACTTAGGATGTGCTAGAAAGCTTCGAGCATGCGCTTGCACTACATCCCTTGCCTTGGTGCGCGCCACGCCTCGGGCGCCCTTCTAATTCGCTGATTCATTTGAAAGCTCATTTAGAGGGAAGCGTGGTTTATAGATGCTCTAGTATCAGTCATCTTACGAAAACGTAACGTGCTGGCTATTATCCGATATTACCAAGAATCCCACTGTCGGCCACCGAGAGGAGTACGACCCCCCCTCCAAGCTCAACTGAGTACGACCCCCCGTTGTTACTCGTAACAACGTAGGGTTGACCCTGGCTGGCATTAAGCCAGCAGTTGCTGTAGACACTTCCAGACATGTAATTCTCCCAGCCCTGGCTTCTAAGCGACTAACGAAGAGAAATTTCTTATTTTGGACTTTTTTGGAAGTACTTCCTGCTTTTTTCTTCAGCTTCGATTCACTTAGCACCCAGTACTTCATAGTTGAACAGGTAGTCCCTCGTTTTATCCCGGAGTTTGCCTTTAATGAACATGTAGACTGCAACCTGGTAAGAGATTTCAGGAAGAATGCACGGATTGATGTGCTCTCCATTAGCCTACTAGTAACTACTACTAGTAACTTTGCTTTTCATGTAATTCTTTACACAGTAGTGCATCCACAGTAGAGACCCTACTCCTTTTCTGGTGAATTTCATTTCATTTTTGTGTTTCGTGCAGTCCATATCTCGCTGTCCAAAGGCAGATTTTGCGATGAAAATGTAGCTCATTGGAAATAAGGGTAGAGGGGCGCAATGTGACTCAAGGGGGCGAGCCGCCGCGCGCAGCGTTGCGGCAACAGGAAATTCGTGAGCCAGGGGGAATGTAGCCAATTCAGGGGGGTGGGGGTGAGGGCAGTCACTTAGCATGCGTGAGAAGCTGGAATGTTCCGTAAGCTGGAATGTTGGAGTTATACATCGCTGAGCCGCGCGCGGCGACTGGACCCCCCTCCCAAGCCACATTGCACCGGTAGAGGTGACTAGTGGAGCAAGGATGAGGAAC